AAATAAAACTATGATGATACCAGGGCACCCACAACTTAATATATAACTATGATGATACCAGGGCACCCACAACTTAATATATAACTATGATGATACCAGGGCACCCACAACTTAATATATAACTATGATGATACCAGGGCACCCACAACTTAATATACAACTATGAAAATTGTGCATCATAAAGAATCAAAATGTAGCTCTCTCTCTTTTACATACAGCCAAGTGCTTTATGTCAAAATTTAAAACAAAAACTCTACAATTTTACTCACTATGCCTTCCATCCCTGTAGATCAAAACACAGCTCAAGCAAGACACAAAAAGAACAGTTGCAGCTACCATTGAAGCAGCAACCATCCACAAGGTGGAGCTGAAGTAATCCTCATGAGCAATTCTATGCTGTACTACTTCTAAATTTATGAAAGAAGAGAGAGAAATCAGAATTAAGGCATTTGAGAATTTTTTCTAAAAGACCATCAATTTATTTTCATATTTTTTGTCTAATCATGTTTGTTTTTTAAAGATTGAACAGATCTTAGCAGCTAAGAAAAAATATATATATATATGTATTACCCTCAGTATTATAGATTGGAGAGAAGATATCGACATTCCTTTACCTGGCAAATCAAGAGGCTTTGCAGTTTTGACTTTAACAGTTATGGGTTTCCCTTGTCCCAGTTTGTTTGATGCCCATATTCGAAACACGTAATGTGTATCTGGTTTCAGATGATAGACTAGAAACTCCCTCTATAAAAAACAACACTGGCTGTTATTATAAAACAACTACTAAACATGACACATGAAATGTGGTATTAAAGGAAAAAAGTTGTAAAATATGCTTAAGGTAAGTAAGTCCTACTTTGACAAACCTTGTTCATAATTGTTGTGCATCACAAAATATGTTTAATTCACTTTGCTACTATACTTATTGAAAAGTTTATACAACAATTCCAAACATTTCTAAACAACTGTACGATAGAAATGATCATGTTTTGTTGCTGCAAAAACCCATTTTGTTGGGGGCTATAAAAGCAGTGTACTGTTTAAAAATGCATCTCTGGATTATATTAAGGTATTTGCATAACTAACAGTGTCAGGGCTTGCTATTAATTCCAGCAAACTGCTGGTTAGTGTTGCAGTTTTGCTAGTAAAACGTAAGCTCCAGGAGAAAATAAAACTGCAAGTAAACATTTCAGAAGGAAGCTTCACAGATTCTTACTCTTAAGTATTAACAAACCCATGATACATGTGTTTCAGTCATTTACATTGCAAGATTCTGAACATACAGGATTACCATGAGTGTGATTATCAAGACTTTCACTTGCCAGAGCCATGCTGGTCCTGATATCTCCATTTGCGATACATGGCATATCTAAGCTAAGCATCAGGAGATGGAGACCACAGTGTAAGTTAGTCTAGGTGTGAGGTGAAGCTGGTCTCTTCAGTGCAGTTCTTTTGGCATCTTGGTTAGAAATACAGTGCCTGAGTGTTTGCTCATTGGAGGTAATAATAATTTGTCCATGATTAATGCAAATGTTAGGCCTACTGACTTCTAATGCTTTGTCAACTACTGGCATTTGAATTTTAACTTTTAAATGAAATAATTTTTAGTACTAAGTGGCCATCAGAAGTACAGTACTGCAGACTTTGTCAATCCTGGTGCTTGTGGTCTATGTACACCAGTTTTCACCAACTTCGAGTTTTTCACAATGAAGTAATCAATACAAAGTCATCACTACATGTAATTAAAATAAGCTTTGACATTTGAAAATATTTTTAGAAAGTCATAAAAAGAAGATTTATTCATATAAATAGGATAGATACATAATTATTAATATTTAGTATATGACAGAATTGATTATGACACAATTACAGTTAACAGAAGAATAGTGTCGTTAGTAACAGTCCCAAATATGCTAATGGGAAAAAATACCTAACAAACATTTGCTAGTGATTTCAATAGTCTGAGTATATATTTTTTAATAATTACAAAATTACTGTATCTTATCGTGCTTACTAAATAACAATTAGAAATTATTACATATATCAAAGATAATAGTTTTCACATAACTTTTGTCAAAAATGTTACACGTTACAAAAAACAAAAATACAATGTTACAAAAAAATGAAAGGGAAATGACATCACGAGGTCCACATTCAAAATAAAGGTAAGACCACAGACTTTCTACAAATTAAATTCAGCCAACAGGTAGAAAACTCTTTATGTGTGGGGGCAGGTAACCATTTGATTAATATACCAATAGATACAGTTACAACCTGTTTGTTCTTGGTGGTACACACAGCATATTCTACAAGGATAAAAATCATAGCTCCTGGTTCTAACAAGTTATGAAGACCAAATTAACTTTACCTGCCACTAAGTTTTGCAATTCTGAATATTTTCTAAATAACATAATTTCTGAATTTTAGTGACTCAACTACCAAAATCCCACCCGAGATTCCAAATCTTTAATTTTTTTTTTTTTTCTCTTCTGTCGTAATCAAAAGTAATTAAACCTATCTGCATCTATTATCTAAATGATAGACCTTTGTCAGTTTTTACTACCTTTTTTTTATGATTCATAACCAGAAGTGGATACTACTGTAATTTGCAAAATAAATTATGAAAAGAAATATTTCAATAAATATAAATCTAGTTGAAACTGACTTGATGTATAAAATAGAACATTCATATATCACCAATAAAAAAAATGAAAATTACAAAATGAAAAGTATTGTTCATTTCTTTTTTCAAAATATTGTCTCCAAGATTGGTATCAATATTTGTCTGCTGCTTTAATTTTCTATATATTCACTCTATATGTATAGTTGTATGTATACATATAATGATGAACTAACTGTACGTACAAAAGTCTCTTAACCATTCCCCATTTAAGTTACACTTAACATTATTAATCAGTTATATTTCAGGTTGGTAAATTAAAAATGTTAATATTATTGAAAAGACCTTTTCTATCTTGGATCAAGTGTCCATTTTAAGTTCTATAGGTACTAAACTAGCAGAAGACAATGTACAGTGGTTGTCTTCACGTTATACAATGTTAATGTGTTTCAATATTCTAGAACAGTGGATTTCAGGCCTTATAGCTTAAAAAAAACACCATCACACTGAAAAAAAGGAAAGAAAAGGTCTTAAGAATCAAGTCTGATTTCATTAAAATATAATTTTTACTCTAAACATATTCTTGAACTATCGTATATTAATTCATACTGTGTGTTTTTTAACTTGTTTGTCTGTGAAATCTTCCCACAGTTTTGGAGCTAATAGGCAGACTCTGGGTGGTCTGGAGGGATGTCTATGTGGTATATTCCCCTACTAAGGGGAGGCTTAAAGTGCCCAGAAGATCACTCAGACATGATGAGGGTCTAGGAGTAGGTTTACAGGGTCAATGAACCCAAACACAACATTGGATTTTGTGTTCTTGGCACCCTTCATGATCCTAGGGACACCATGTTTTAAACTATATTTATATCCTCATTCACAATGAACCCAAACACAACATTGGATTTTGTGTTCTTGGCACCCTTCATGATCCTAGGGACACCATGTTTTAAATTATGTTTATATCAAATGAATCTAAGTTTTAAATTGACAGCAACTGCCTGTTGTAGAAACCTACAAATGTAGAGGACAATGTTTCGAAAGTCTTCCGCTTTTCGTCTTCAGGAAATGTCGTCCTCTACAGTTGTAGGTTTCTACAACAGGCAGTTGCTCTCCATTTGAAACTTAGATTCATTATAAATACTCTGCCTAAACAACCTATCAAAGATTATGTTTATATCCTCATTCACAAACTATCAGAACCAAGTGTGTCACATATGCTCAGGTACTACAAGCAGGTGCTCTAACAGGGTTTGCTTTCAATTATGCCCCTTGGGGTAGCTACATAATTAATGTGGATAATGTAGAAGCTTGATCGATACACTGGGGCCTCTGTGGATCATCATGGGAGCCATTAAACCCTGCAATAGGGCACGAGTGTTTTATGCTAGTTTAAATAATTATCGTTGATAAAAGTACATGGTTAACCACAACTCAAACAGAAATATCTTAACATTCACAATGCAACTACTTACAACTGTTGGACTGATTTTTACTGGCACAAGGAAGTGCTTGGTATCATTAGCTTGGTGGAATAATGGAAAATAGACTAATGTGAAGTGTGAGATTGGATAACCGCCATCATCACCAACATACCAACGAACTGTAGCTACTACTGTAGAGGGAATCACTGTAACATTCACTAGCTGGCCTGGGCAAGCTGAAAAAATGAACAGAGATGATTAATACAAAAAAAAAGTAATTATCTTTCTGCATGACAATAAATAGTTATTGTTAGAAGCAACACAAAGATTCTAGCATAAACCTTTAAAAAAATCTATGTGTTTACAGCTGCTTCTAAGCTTAAAAGGCTGTTTGGATTACCCACTTTATAATTAACGCTACTGTCTAATTTCTTGACAAACAAGAACAATAGGTTTTGCTTCAGTTTGAAAAAGGTACCATTTTTGGGGGTATTTTTTTACTGTTTTAGTTCTTTACCAACTAGTCATGAAAAATCTTTTTAAAAATCTAACAGTGTTTAAAACTATAATCCCTACTCTTTGGGTATAATGACATTAGTTTTGTTAAATATTGTATTTTATTTGATTGGTTCTTTCCTTCTCTATTGGAGCTGTGGTTTTTTTTACTTGCATCCATTATTTTTTCTTTCTGTAAAAAAAGTATCTTGAATATCTAAAATTTTATTCTTTAAATTTTTTCCTCTGTTATAACTTATAATGATTATATTAACATCAGAATAATTAGCAATGAATATAGCAAGTTAATATAATGTCCTTACTTATAACAACTGGATTGCACTGATTGATCAATTAATACCCTCACTGTTAATGAAATTGTCAGTCATAATGCTAATATTCACAGCACTAAATGTTGTTCCTTTGAAAACATCCAACTGATCACCTAAAGCAGAGTAGTCATGGTGAGATTTTGTGGTTTGCCTGTCACTCATAATTAAGACTAATTATTAACAATCATAATTTTTATTGAAAATGTTTAGCAATTATTCTGGTAGAAGTTAGTACAAAATAATTTCTACCCTTGATATTTTTACTATGAATGGAGAATTAATTTAAAAACTTTTCAATAATATGTGAAGCTGTTCTTACTTTTCACAATAAGTTTTGTGGTCAGCTTCTGAAACTCATAACTGTTGTCTGCCACACATGTGTAGCTTCCTTCATCACCACGATGTAGGCCTGAAGAATACAGGCTTCCACCATGGCCTTTAACTTGCAAGCTCAGATCCTTGGTTAGCTGGTGACCATCTTTGTACCAGAAAAACTGAGGGATTGGATGACCACTGATGTTACACTGCAAGGTTAATCTGGAACCAATGTCTCCTTCTGTTATTGGTGGTAATGGCTGGAGAATTTTTATAGATGCTATATAATAAAATGAAAGAAAACTTCTAAAGAATCCCCCATTGAAAATCAGTTCTTCAAGAAGAATAAATAATAGTAACCCAACCAAAGAAGACAGTGTAACAGATAACAAAAGTTACACCAAAATAATAGTACATCACTAAAGAAACTACAAAGAATAAAGAAACTTGTCTAACTTTTAAAAACACAAAATTATACACAAACTTTCTACATACTAGACTTTTGATACCTATAAACAATATGAGAACAGATCATACTGTAACTTGTGTACAACCATACACCAATAATATCATAATACAAAAGGATAACTTGCAGTAGTACACAAGCTTTCATGCAGATGACAGCTTGAATGAGTAAAGAAAGAAACTTCATTATCACTATACAAGTAACAAATGTAAAACATTTTAACAAGCTTTTATCATCATCAGGTACAACTTTATTTTCTAAAACTTGGTTCCTAGTCATCACATTTTGCATCCATCAAGGCAATTACTCAAGGTTGTGTAAGTATAAACATTTGTCTTTATTATCCTATTTTTATTACCAGTATGCTTCCTCATTTATTTACCACCATAAACCTATTGTAATTTTTTTTATGATGACTAAAAGTGTGTTGAAACATTGTACATTTGGTAATTAAAATAAAGTTTCTTTCATTACCCATTCACGCATCTCCAAACTTTATTTCCTGAAAGTGGGTTCCTCATCATCAAATGTATATACAGATAGCTAATCTGCTTTATTTGATCCAAAGGAATAGAGAAAAATAAAAGTAAACGCAGTGCCAAATTTTGGAGCTACATATTGGTTAAGCCTTGAGGCACATAAATGTCCAAACATTAAATGTAAGAACTCACAGTCTGTCTGGCCAATACTAATACATACTGAACTTGATGATGTCCATAAGCTACATCCCCACTTTACTTTTCAATAACTTTAGTTAACTTACCATAGTATTAACAATTAGTATAACTTGTCAGACCTATAACAAGTTATAATACGTTTGCCTAAAATATTTTTTTTAAAGTTTACATATCAATACTGTTCCTTTACTGGATTTAGATCCAGGAAAAACCTTTAAAGCTGTAACTATTATGAAGCAATGAACATTTTCAAATAAAATTATGATTTGGTAACATCCAAACAGTGACTTGTCTCACTTATTCTAAAATCTAATCTAAGCCTGTAAATTTCATAAAATGTTAAATGGACAAAAAGGAGCTTATTAACCCATCAAGGATGTCCCTTCTACCTCCCAACTATAACCACCCCTTACTACTCATGTATTCATCCAATCTTTTCTTGAACTCAATTAAATTTTCTGCCTCCAGGTCATTCCAAAAGCCAACTACCCAGTTTCAAAAGTATTACTATCTAAACTGCAGATGACTCCTATGCTGCCAAAATTTTAATTTATGACTCTTGTCCTATTGTTTTCACTGCTAAACACAAACAAGTTTGATGGATCTATATTATCAATACCCTTAATAATTTTAAACACCTCAACCAAATCCCCTCTAACCCTTCTCATCGCCAGAGAAAACAAGTTTAGAGGTTTTAGTCTCTCCTCATAGGACAATCCCACCATCCCAGGTATCATCCTAGTGGCTCTTCGATAAACCTTCTCCAACAATTCAATGTCCTTCTTCAGGAAGGGAGCCCAAAACTGTACATAGTACTCTAAATAAGGCCTTACAAGTGTTCTATACAGTGAAACAATAAATTCCCTTATCTTGTATTCAATATTTCTGTAGATGCTACCCAAACTCTTTTTAGCCCTATTGCTAGTTAAAATACGCTGTTTAGATGACTTAAGAAGTTAAGTGAATTTTTTATCACAACACCAAGATATTTTTCTTTAACCACAGTATTTAATGTATTATGGGATTGTCAGTGAACTGTATTTAGTATATACTATAGTACAATTTAGTCTAGTTATCAGACTATGTATAATTATTGTACTGCAACTTCACAAATAACTGTCTACTTGTACTAGTAATACTCACTAATAGAGTAATAGTAACATTAATAACTTTACAATTTGGAAAGGTCAGACACTTTTTCCACTGAAACAGATTTCTCCAATAAACAATATGGTAGTACATTTATAATACAAATTTAAGTCTATAGTGATAAAGGCTGCAACTTTACACTTACAAAAGTTAATGAAAATCGGTAACTTTACCTACAGTACATAAAACTCAGCACTTGTACTATTGTAGAGCTAGAAAAGTGTGGGGTCAGACACAGAGACAGGGATGAGTTTATCATTTTGGTGATTAGTTTTATATTTATTGGGGGATGCTTAATTACATTAGTAATGGCAACTAAGCCTAGTAGTAGCACATAGTACTAGTAGTAATAGTAATAGTCAGACCCTCTCACTCTCGCGAGGTTCAGAGAGGCTTGGGCCACTTCTATCTTTTGAGGTCCTTGACAAAAAAAAATGATGCCACATGAAAACAAAATAAGACAATCGTTAGCCCCAAAAAAGTGAAACATAATTTTATTTTCAAGTAATACTACTACTGTACTTGTAGCTAGTCTAGTGTAACTTTAAATAGTTCGTCAGGATCCGTGACTTAACATTTTCATGACACTTAACAATACAAAACTTTAAAATAAACACTTATCTTTTTTACCTTTGGAGTTAACAAATGACAAATAAGAAAACCATAAAGAAAAGCTGAGAAATGGTGTAAAATTAAATACACTCATCTCTTCTCCATCATTCACGACTGACACAACGCTCTCTTTTTAACTCTAAAAGAATCAACACTCCCACCTACTGATGTGTTTAAACAAGAATAAAAAATTACAAAAACAGTTTTATATTTTTATTGTTGATCGGTATTTTCTGAATTGTTTGAATCTTTAAATTTTTCATATCTATTTCAATCATTTACTAGACGTCACATTAGACAACATCCAAGTTTTTAAAATATTAGTATATACAACACTGTCACTCAAAAGACATAATGTGACAAAGAATTAATAGCCATTTGTTAACTTATCGACGATATAACGCCAACATTTTGGATAGTTTATTTTGATGACAGAATTGCGAAAACACGTTATTATAAATGGCCTACCTATGATAATCACGTTAGATTAAAAAAAAAAAGAAGTGAGAATGAAAAGGATAACAACTTTTAACCTCAAAATGAAATCAAGGAAATACATTTGTTGAACGCCGATCTGTGATTCGTGTAAAATAAATGAAAAATATAAATGTTAAAAAATTAAAAACTTTGAATATAAGAAATATTTAACAAAGAAAGTGTTTTAGTGTTAGTGTATAATTAACATTTATATAATATTTTCAATTGTTGTGTTGCAGCTTTCAATTAAAACCATGGCCGTTAATAAATGAAGTATTTGTGAAACGTACAAGTGTCTTTGTTTTGTTTTTTTTTACTCAACTGTCTAATCACCTTTTTTTTTTTATCGGTGTATACAGTTTTGGAGATTTATCCCCCCTCCCCCATCCACCCACATTGAGTTGTATAATAACACTATCTGGTAGAATTCAAACATAATCTGACTTCATATTATGTATCTATCTTGTTACTAACTGACGTCATATTATCGTGGGTGACATGGTAAACAGTTTATCATTATTATTATTCGTGGCAGGTATTTAATTTTAAAAGGAAAGAAACTTTCCTCAACTGGAATGTTCAGGGATATTAGTATCCTCCTTCATCCCGCTCGTGGAAGATGTTTTATGAAACCAGCGTTAAAATTATGCAAAATACACATATATGTACCATTGAGTACACATACACACACGTATATTTGTTTTTGGTTTATAGGCCGAACGATTAAAATAAACATTGGAGGACTATTAATATTATTACGACAGCGTGGGTCACGTGACTCTAGTAACACGTCATATTCTCGAACGTTCACGTCCCTTCCTGAAGCCTCGAGAGATTACTAGATATGCGGTATTTTTGTATATATAAAATCGGTAAGAAGTTTGTTTGTTTGAAGTTAAGCACAAAGCTACACAAAAGGCTATCTGTGCTCTGCTCACCACGGGTATCGAAACCCGGTTTCTAGCGTTGCAAGTCCGCAGACATACCGCTGTGCCACTGGGGGGGGGGCGGTAAGAAGTGACGGCAACAATGTAATGTAACTGAACTACAGACAGAGAGAGACTGGCAATTGGGTCGAGCACGTGAGTCGTTCGTTGTGAATTATAGCGTTTGTTATAGCGTGACTGTGGAAATTAAGTGTATTACAAAGTTGTATTCAGAAAGAATAAACCAGTTTTATTTAAGAAAGGACTTGTATAGCTAAATTTTCTTCGGAAAGAAATTATACGGAAAATTGACTAACGAACGGAGGTGTAACAATATGATTGTAGATGTTATGACGTCGAGGCAAGGAACGCAAAGCAAAGGCCGTCTTTATTAAGGAGATCTAAGTATCAAACATCCAGGCTTTGCCATTAGAAGTGAGAAAAAAACAAAAGATCTCTTCTTTGGACATCGGGGATATATGTATTCTATGCCAAGAAATTTGCTGTGATATTGGTTCCCTATGAATGCTTTTATACTAGAGGATTGCTGAGTTGGTTCCAATAATTCATTTGTGTCGAGTAATTTGTTTCGGTTGACAGAATTATTAAAGTAAGTTCTAAGCGGCAGAACTTTAGTAATTACATTAAAAAAAGAGAAATGAACATACAGAGAAGAACGACTTAGTAAAGAAGTGTGTTACGACAGCGGAAGTCACGTAACGCTGGTAACATGTAATGAGT